GCTTCTTTTTTTTAAAAAAATTAAAATATACATAACACAAAATTTACCATTTTAACCATTTGTAAGTGTACAGTTCAGTGACATTAACTACATTCACATTATTGTGCAACCATCACCATTATCCAATTCCAGAACTGCTTATGCTTTTTCTTAATGTCTTGTTTAATAAATTCTTTGGACCATCAAGACCATAAAGACCGTCTATATATTTGTTTTAAATTCTTAAAATTTTGGCTTTCATATACAAGTTCTTAAATCATCTGGAATTGATTTTTTATATAGTAGGAGGTAGGGAATACATTTTCCCCTCCCTATAGACAGCCAGTTGTCCCAGCACCATTTACAATTGTCTATTTTTTGCTCCATTGATTTGTACAGTGGGTCTGTCATACACTAAGTTTCCTCATAGGTGTGGGACCATGTTTGGGTGTTCTATTCTGTTCCATTGATTGATGACTTTATTCTTGTACCAATATCATAATGTCTTAAATACTAGTGAATTAAGATTGGCCTTCCATCTACCTGAAAGACTATTCTCCTAAAGATAGACATAACTAAATCCCAAGTTTTCTTCTGGTCTCTGTTTCATGGCCACATTCTTAGCCAGCCTTTCCTGTTATCCTTTCTAAAGTTTCAATATCTCCTTGCAAACTTTACATTCTCCTTTTCTGATTAATTTTTTTCTGTTTAGTAGTTGTTATCTAACATAATGATTTATGCCTTTAACTTGTTTATTGTCTCTCTTTCCCATTAGAAGTTTTATGAGAGCAGGCTTTTTTGGCTCTCTCATCATTCTCATATCCCCAGCATAGAAAATGTTTCCTGGCACTTAGTAAGTGTTTAATTACTATTTCTGGAACACATCAAATAATGTTGATATATGGAAGGGTAGTGTTTCTTCACCGTGCTACCCTTAAGAATATGCTTCCTCTCAGTTCTCCTGCTCCTTGATTTTGACCAAAAAAAGCAATCTAAAGCAAATGGAGAAATAATGAAGTGCTTTCTTTAGGTTGGTTCCCAGCCAACTCCCAGATGTAGGCAGTGAAATGGGGAGGGTGGAGGGCCACAGGTTGGCTAACTCTGCTTTAGCTTTTATGGGTCAGCTATCTTGCTGGAAATACCTCCTGTTCTCTGCTTTTCATGGCAAACACAGCTGGTAGGACCTAGGGTTTATAGCATGCTTACTTAGTAAAGAAGCTTACCACACCTTTGGTTTTCAGGGTGACACACCCCGCACAGAGGAGGAATGAACACTCACTTAGATTTACCAAGCATGGCAACTAAATTATCAGCTGTAAGTGTGACACCTTTTGGGATAGAAGTTCTGGAGCTGCGGAGGAGTTATCTCAGGTTGAATGCCACGTGGGGCAGTCTGTCTGTAGCTGGGTAATGCCCAGGGCAGGCACTGAATTGAGCAGTGATGATTCATGGAAATTCTGCCAGAGAAGGTACTCTGTGCTTTATTACAGGCTAAACTAGGAAGCCAACTCATTCTGGAAGGAATGTGTATAAAGTTTTCAGATGAGGACTTGAAGTTTTATAAGTTGGAGTCACATTTGATTCAAACCATCTGTTTAATGGGAAGCTGAACCCAGCATTTTTTTTCATACGTCTCTCACAGTATTCAATAATTCAGTGTTGGTCGGGGACAGTGGCTCACGCCTATGATCCCAGCACTTTGGGAGGCCGAGGCAGGCGGATCACCTGAGGTCAGGAGTTTGAGACCAGCCTGGCCAACGTGGTGAAACCTCATCTCTACTAAAAATGCAAAAAATAGCTGGGCATGGTGGCAGGCGCCTGTAATCCCAGCTACTCGGGAGGCTGAGGTAGGAGAATTGCTTGAACCCAGGAGACGGAGGTTGCAGTAAGCCGAGATCGCACTACTGCACTCCAGCCTGGGCGACAGAGCAAGACTTCGTCTCAAAAAACAAAACAAAACAAAAGAAAAAAACAAAAACAATTCAGTGTCATAAGTATTTGTTGAGGGCCCATGGAGTGCCAGGCACTGGGGTCACAGAAATGAATGAAACAGTCGTCCCTGTTTTTGAGATGCTATGATTCAGTGGAAGTAAAACTTACCTGTTTATGTATGTTTTCCTCCCCATGATTGTGAGGTCAATGTCTGTAATTTACAAGAATCTCAGTTGCCAGGGTTGAGCATTGTGTCAATCAATTTTTTTTAGATGAAGTGAATACATGAAAGAGCTCACAGTGATTTACTGAACATGGCTGCTGAAATGTATAACATTATTGTGCATTATTGCTACTGTGATATGCAGATTTATATTGCAATTGCCTCTGGATTCAGAAAAACACACTTCACAGTGAGGTAGTGACCAAAACTGTGGCATTTAGAAACAACAAAAATGCTGGAATAGCTGACAAACACAGGCTATTTTGTTCCCAGGGGCTTAAAATCGGTTTTTAATATGATGAAAAGGTAGCTATTATGTGACATAGGAAGATATTGGTATGTTAAGCATGAACATATATTTTCAGTTTTCTCTGAGTTGGTCATAAAATGACACTGGCAACTTCATCTTTTAATTGGGCAGATATTGTAGCAAGTACTTTGGGGATCACAAAGATGAACAAAAGGGCTCATCCAAAGAAAGCTTAAAACCTAGTGGTGCTGGAATTCTTGACCAGTCACATATGGTGATCTTGAATCTCTTGAAATAGTACAGATGTGTGTGTAGGTGCATTTTTCTGAGGAGAACTTTCATCACATTGTCCAGTGGTTCATGGACATAATTACATCCCTCTACTACAGAAGTTCTTAATCTGCCAAAAGATAAAGAACTTCTGTAGTAGAGGGCTATAATTATTTAAAGAACTACACCATATGGGAATCATAAAGAGCCTCAGGGGTTTAAATGAGGAGCAAAACAGGTGGCAACACTGAGTAGTTTCATTATAAAATCCTTGACAATTTTGCAGGAGAAAATTTATTTGCGCTAGTGATAAAAACATTTTTCATATTTAACATTAGTTATTTTTTCTATGAATTACCTGTTCTTCTTTTCCCATTTTTCTCTTTGTGTCTTAGGATTTTTTTCCTAATGAATTAACTGCTTTGTATCCTGATGGCATTAACCTTTTTGATGTTATACTTTTGGTAGACCTTTTCGCTAGTTTGATGAGTGCCAAATACTTTTGTGAATTTTTTACATGCGTAATTTTGTATTTTTATCGTCAAGTCTTTATATCTTTTTTCTTTGTAATTTATAATATTTAACTTTGTTTGAAACCCAGAGATAAGATATTCATGTAAATATTCTTATGGTCTGTGCTGCTGGTTTTTCAGGCAATTTATATGCTTTCAGGTGTCTTCTTCAGACCAGGTGAAGTTATTTGTATTATGTATTTGATACAGAGAGGAAGAAATGAGGTGAAGCTCTGCTGTCATACTACTGGAATTAGTATAGTGAGATCGTTAGCACAGTGGGGCCTGGAGAGTTTCTCTGGGTTTGAACATGGCTTTGACATTATGTGTCCTTTTGACTTCATTTAACTTCTCTGTTCTTCAGTTTCCGTATCTAGAAAATAGGTTTAATATAATAACCTTTGGGAGGTCGAGGCGGGCGAATCACGAGGTCAGGAGTTCAAGACCAGCTTGCCAACATGGTGAAACCCCGTCTTTACTAAAAATACAAAAATTAGCTGGGATTACAGATCCCAGCTACTCGGGAGGCTGAGGCAGGAGAATTGCTTGAACCCGGGAGGCAGAGGTTGTAGTGAGCCGAGATCGCTCCACTGCACTCCAGGGTGGGCGACAGAACAAGACTCTGTCTCGGGTAGTGGTGGGGGGTCGGGGTGGGGGGGGGGGGGAATAGCCTATCTTAAATGGTTGTGAGAATAAAATGAGTTGATACATAAACCACTTAGAACAGGTCCTGGTATAAAGTCAGTGCCAGCCACAGTTTAGTCCAGGCTGGGTAGATGCTCTGAAGCTTGATATTGTTTCAATGTACTTTGCATTTCTAAAAACATGAACATTTCAAAACATTCAGTTGATCGCCTAACGAGTACCTATACCGGAGCCTCATTCCAGCACATTTGTAAGCAAGGCACGCCTCCTAGAGGCCACGAGTGAAGTTAATTTCCAGTTCTCGAAAATCTTACAGACAGAACTGGTGTGGTGGCTCTGACGTGCTGCTTGTGAGTCTGCAGTAAGACATCCGGAAAGTAAGCGGCACGTCCGCGTTATCTCCAGTGCTTCCACTTCTTCCACCCTATCTTCCCTCCGAGGCTGGGTTCTTCTAATTCCTGTAGACTGCAGAGCGATTTCTGCGAATGTTCATTCTTTCATTCATTCTAGTTCATTCCACAGATAATTCAGCCACGCGCTTACTCTGTGCGAGGCATTGCCGGGGAGCGGGGAGCGAACTGAACGTGGAACCTGCCAGTAGGATCTTGCCGCCCAATCCGAAATTCAAACTATGTATTGTATGTAGCTAACGATGATCTTGTAACTTGTTTCCTCATCTGCCAAATGGGGGTAATACGACCGTATAGGACCTTAAACGTCGCTGAAAGATTAAACGAGGGGAAAAAAGAGCCCTTAATAGTGAGCTAGGTGCAAAAAGGATCCTAATGCCTTTTTTCCTCATTCCTCCCCAGATTGAAAGTGATGAGTGCCAGCTCTGCGGGTTAAAGCGTCATATTCTCCTCAATAATACAGAATATTTGTTAGTGTCCCCAAACGAACTTACATTGGTTCAATTTTCGGCGTATGGGAGTTTTCGCCACTAGCATTCAGCACCCCAGTTTCAACCGTTAAAAGCTACCGACTCCACGTACGGGAAATGCATCTTAAAATTTGGAAAAAAGAAATCCCCAAAACATTGACATCCAAACATTTTAAAGCTGCCAAAGTCCATGAAACGCCTTGAGCTCCCAGACGCGCTTCACTGAGCATGCCCAGAGCCCCAGGCACAACCCCCTCCAAGCGGCCGAGGGGAGGTGGGGGAGGGCGGGCCTTCCGTGCTAATCGCTTCCGCTTCCGGTTTCATATGAACTCTCCCGCCACCCGGGAGCAGTAGCTGTCAGCGTTTGTGTTTCCCCGAGTTTGAATTCTTGCAGGTAAGGGAAACTCCTGCGAATTTAGGACAGAGAGCAATCCTGTTGTTGAGGCTTGCAAGTCGACAGAAAGGAGAGACGGATCACTTTGCAGGCAGCAGGAGCAGAAGGACAGACTTGGCGGGTTGAGAGTAGTGGGTATTGGTTGATTGGTTGGGGTAGACACTCAGGTACCAGGGAGGAGTTGGGGGCAGATAGGTTTGCTAGTGGAGTGGGCAGAGGTGTTGGGGATGGAACTTTTATAAGGCACTTGTGGATGCTCCCGAAAAGGAGTTCCGAAAGACAGTTGTTCTGTTTCCCAGAGTCATAACAGAGAAAGTGAGTAACTGAACACAGTCCATCAAGTAAGACCCTCATTTAGCCAGAACCTACAGCACTCTCCTCTAAGTTCAGGATTGCAGAGCACGTAAAACCTTATATTAACTCTTGGGATCGTAAAGATCCAGGAGCAGTGACACACAGGCCTGTAATGAGCAGGCAACATCACCTGACTTTCATGTTGCTGAAAATTAGGACCACCACCTGCGTCTGCTCTAGCGCCTCTCCCACCCCCATTACAAAATTATTATAGGTGTATTGTAGAAAATCTGGAAAAGAGAGAAGGGCATCACCCAGGAATTGCCACTGCTAACATTTTGTGCATGCCTTCAAGTCCATTTTTTTTTTTCTGTTTGTGTAATTATTTTTTCGTGTTTTTTTCTTTCCAACTTTATTTTCCATAATTTTATGCCTTTTATATGCTTCCTTCTAAGGTGACCAAGATGGAGTTTTCCAAAAGAAAGTTGAGGACGCCGAGGTTGGCAGGTGACCAGAGGAATGCTTCCTACCCTCATTGCCTTCAGTTTTACTTGCAGCCACCTTCTGAAAACATATCTTTAATAGAATTTGAAAACTTGGCTATTGATAGAGTTAAATGTAAGTACTATTTAAATTAGAATGTATATATTCTTGAGAAACTTACCCTTTGTGAGAATGAATGAAGGTAATTTATTTCCTTCATTCAGCGATCCATTCAACAAATATTTATTGAGATAATTCATTTCCTTCATTCAGCAATCCATTCAAGAAATATTTGTTGAGGGTTTGGTACTCATTCATTTATTTATTGTACAGTGCATATTACTGAGTGCCATTATGTTCTAGGTGGCAGGGATTTTGAGATGAATAATGTTATTTTTTGTTGAAGTTGTATTCTAGTACATGGAGACAGACATCCAAAATAATAGTCATAATTCAGTATTTTAACTGCTCTAGAAGTAAATGGTGGTGCTGTTGTAACAAAGAAGTGGGAGTGACTGACTTAGTCTGATTAAATAAGCTTCTTAGAGAAGTTGAAATATGATCTGGACCTTGAAGAATGGGTAGAAATTTTCCAGTAGAGAAGAAGTGAAGAGTTTTTCCAAGCTGACATAATGGCCTGTACAAAGGCTTGGAGCATGAAAGAGAATTTCATATTTGAGGTAACAGTTACAAGTTCAGGAATTCAGGGTGGATGGAGAAGTATGGAGGGCATTTTGTGCCATGCTAATGATATGATATCGGGGTGTAAGAAGGATGTGGCCATTGTCCTGGGGGCCTACTTAATCCTCAGTGTGTTTCTAGAGAAAAGAATGGGCTAGACATGAATTGAAACAGAAACACTAGCGTTGTCTTCAGAGTTTATGTTCCAGGATATCCTTGTGGGGAAATCAGAATGAAAGGTGAGATACTGGTAATCATTCTTAGAGGAGCAGAGTAAGCACTGCTAATACAGAGGGGAGGCACTCAGTGCCTGTGTGTTGAATGAAAGAATGAAGATAAGGGAGAAAAGGGTTTTAGAAAGCTTAGCAGTGTCAGATACTTCATAGGGATTAAGACGGTGATTGAAAAGTGTCCCCTGGGTTTGGCACTTGAGGTGAAATGATAAGGGCCTGAACTATGATAGTGACAATGGCAATGATAGGAAGGGAGAGAGTTAAGGGATACTGAGGAGGTAACATGGATAGGATTTGGTGACTGGATATGAGGAGTGAGGGAGCAGGTGTGGAGTGGCTGAAGTTCCTGCTTGGATGATCTCATGCATAGAAACTCTGCTGATAGAGATGAGCATGGCAGGAAGAAGAGTAGGAATGAGGGGAGGATAATTAATTTGGATATGCATACCCGTGGGATATGGGGTTTATGTTCATGAGACAATTAGAAGTTCTTCATTCTTGACTTCAAAAATGCCTCCAGAGAATAATTCATCTGAGGAAAGATTGATAAGGTGCTTTAGGAACCTTTGAACAGTATATAGCATCTGTTCAGGATGGTTCATTTGGCTGATTGGATGGCCCTTCTTCTTCACTGTTGTGCCCTGTCCTCGGCTTCATCAGGAAAGGAAGGGATGCTTTTTTCCTGTTGAATCTATGCCAAGTGAATGACGCCTGCTGCGTAACAGGCAGCTCACAGATGAAGGATGCAAACAAGGAGTGTCTAGTTTTTTTCCCATACTGACATACTTTTCTGTTCCTCAGCAGCAGCAGCTCAGTACAGGAATGATTATTCACCATCCATCCCTCTTGCCTGACTGAGAATCCCTGGTATTAGATTATGCTATGAGACATGGATATTTTCTGCACATAGATGGACATTATCATCTTATAAGCATATATAGTTTATATAATGTAGTTACAGGAAATAAACTGTCAATTACTTGTCATATTCTATAAACAAGTAATTATGGAATTGCCCTCCGTAGATTTTGTTTTGGATTTAGTTTTAAAACATTATCTTGCATTTGTACCTTTTTTCTTTTTTTTAGTGTTAAAATCAGTTGAAAATCTTGGAGTGAGCTATGTGAAAGGAACTGAACAATACCAGAGTAAGTTGGAGAGTGAGCTTCGAAAGCTCAAGTTTTCCTACAGAGTAAGTAAAAAAGGAAAAAAGTTCCTTCAGTTTCCATATATGTATGTGTCGAGTGTCACTTGTGGGAAAGGTATTATATTAGGCACTGGGCTTTTATAAAGACTAATGTATCATGATCTCTGCCTGGAGATTCTTCAGTCTATTAGGGGTGATTGACATGAAGTCAGATGATTATAATATGGCAGGGTTTCTCAACCTCAGGACTAACATCATTTTGGGTCTAATAATTCCTTGTTGCAGGGACTCTCCTGTGCATTGTAGGATGCTCAGTAGCATCTCTGGCTTCTACCCCTACATATTTCCAGACATTGCCAAATGTATCCCGTGCAATACAGGATGATGACTATGTTTATAGATGCATGCTCCAGGAACTCCAAAAACATATATAATTATGCAGCTCAGATTGGGGAGGTTTGGGATGGCTTTCCAGAAGAGGTAGTAGTGGAGCTGCATGTTGACAGATGTGGTTAGATTTTCATTTTGGGAAGATGACTGCCAACTGCAGATTGACAGGGTCATGTCTGTTAGGAGGGAAACCAGTTAGAAACCTGGAAGTGATGAGAGTCTGAATTAAATGAGAGAAGGGGACCGGTTGAAGAGGTATTAAGAAGGTAGGATCAAAAGGTTTTAGTGACTGATTGTAGGGGGAATGGAGAGAGAAGAGTTGTAAATGACACCCAGGTTTCTAGTTAGGAAAATTAGTGGATGGTGGTAATATTTTGAGATGTGATATGCAGGAGGAGAAGCAAGTCTTGGAAGATGTAGAGTTTAGTTCTTAACATGAATTTGAGGTGCCTGTGGAGATGTCTAGTGGACAATTGGATATGCAGGTCTGAATATACAGGAAGACATCTGGTGGGAGTATAGATTTAGCAGAAGGTTGGAATCACCAGGAGTAGGTAAGAGCACCCTAGGAAGATATTTGAGAGAGAAGAGATGATGGTGGAAGTAAAGACATGAGGAATACCAGTATTGAAGGTAAAGTGGAATTGGAGGAGTTTGGGAAGGAGAATGGAAAGGAGCTTTCTCAGAAGTAGGAGATGAACCAGGATAGTAGTGTCATAGAAGCCAAGGAGGGCTAGAGTTTCAATAATAATGATCATGATATTAATAATGATAATAGGGAATAACAACAGCAGATATTTATATTAATAGTATGTTTACTATATACCAGACCTTGTTCTAAGTGCATTACATATATTAGCCCATGTGTGTAATTCATACAGCAGTCTTATGAGGTAGGTATTATTATCATCCCTATTTTACAGATACAACCTATTTATTCACAGACTGAATAATTTGCCCAAGCTCATAAGATGGTAAATGGTGGAGCCAAGATTTGAATCTGGGTATTTTGTTTCTGTGATGGTGCTTTTAACCACAATAGTTTCGGAAGCTTAAGATAGATCATGAAAGATGAATTGTACAGTGTCCATTGGATTTAGCAACTGGATGGGCCCTTGTAGATAGGGGCAGAGACCAGAACAATGACAGTGGTTGGAGAAGGAAGGTGGAGAGGTGGATATAGAAGATGTACTCTTTTAAAATGTGTAACTGAAAAGAGAAAAATAGGGCGGAATATAGAGGTTGTTTTAGGGAAAGGAGAAGATATATGAGCACACATTTGTACATATATGACAGGAGATACTTAAACATGTTTATAAGCTGAGCAGAAGATCTAGAATAGAATGGGGAAGAGGGGAGCTTGAAGATAAAACTTTGAGAGAGCATTTGATAAGTCAGGGTCTTTAAGAGGCACAAGCAAATGGGTTGCAGGGTTTAGGTGCAGGAATTAGCTTTTCATATGGTTTGGCTGTGTCCTCACCCAAATCTCATCTTGAATTGTAGTTCTCATAATCCCCACGTGTTGTGGGAGGGACCCGGTGGGAGGTAATTGAATCATGGGGGCAGTTACCCCCATGCTGCTGTTCTAGATAGTGAGTTCTCACAAGATCTGATGGTTTTATAAGGGACTTTTCCCCGTTTTGCTCAGCACTTCTCCTTACTGCCACCATGTGAAGAAGGACGTGTTTGCTTCCCCCTCTGCCACGATTATAAGTTTCCTGAGGTCTCCCCAGCCCTGGGGAACTGTGAGTCAGTTAAACCTCTTTCCTTTTATGGGTTTACCCAGTCTTGAGTATGTCTTTATTAGCAGCATGAGAATGGACTAATATAGCTTTACATGCTAGGAAGAGGAGATGCTTTGTGGAGATGGATGGAAGGCAACACACATGTGTTTGCAGAAGCTTGGGACTGAAGGAGTCTGCCTGGTAGCCTTTATTTTCTGTAAAGTAGGTGAAGTCATCTGTTCAGAGAGAAGGGAAAGGTGCTGTAGTAGGAGTCTTGGGGTAACTGGTGAAGACTGAAGATTTTCTGAGAGGTGAGGAAGGAGATGATTTTTTGTCAAATCTCAATACTGCTGCTTACTCTGGACGAACTTTGTGACCCTGAACAAGTTACATAACTTCTTTGTGCCTCAGTTTCCTTATTTGTAAAGTAAGATTATAGTAGTGCCTACCTTGTAGGGTTTTTTTTTTTTTTTTTAAAGGATTAAATGGGTTCATGCCTTAAAAATGTTCAGGGCACTTTTATGCCTGGTACCTAGTAAGTGCTCAAGACATGTTTGCACTTATTATTTTGGATCTGACTATTGGCAAGGATCTAGTTGAGATTATAGGCCATGAAATTATATTTTCCAAATTCCCGTAGTTGTGTTTTTCTCCAGAGGTTCTTAGCATTTTGAGAATAGGACTGCAGAGTGTAGTTGTAGATTAAGAATCTAAGTTTTGCCAAATGGTTGAAATTAAAGAAGCTGAGGTTGGTGTAAGAAGTTGTTGAAGTGGTGAGCACCCTGGATATAGGCTGGATAAGAAGAAAATTAGAAGAGAGGGTTTGGTGGGAAGAAAATAGTGGGGTCCAAACTCAAGAGGTTTTGTTGAGATTAGTTTGCTTCTCGGTTTCATCTGATTGATAGCTTAAGGTAAATGATAATTGCCCTGAAAAGCATATTAAGAAATGTTTTGACAATGAGAACACATGGCCACAGGGAGGGGAACACCCCACACCAGGGCCTGTCAGGGGGTTTGGGGCAAGGGGAGAGAGAGCATTAGGACAAATACCTAATGCATGCGGGGCTTAAAACCTAGATGGTGGGTTGATAGGTGCAGCAAACCACCATGGCACGTGTATACCTATTGTAACAAACCTGCACGTTCTGCATGTGTATCCCAGAACTTAAAATAAAAAGAAAAAAAAAAAGAAGAAATGTTTTGGGACTGGGTGTGGTGGCTCATGGCTGTAATTCTACTGCTTTGAGAGAGTAGAGTAGGAGGATTGCTTGAGACCAGGAGTTCGTAACCATCCTGGGCAACCTATTGAGACTCCATCTACACAAAAGATAAAAAATTAGTGGAGCATGGTGGGTGTCGCTTGTAGTCCCAGCTCTTTGGGAGGTTGAGACTGGAGGATCACTTGAGCCTAGGAGTTGGAAGTTACAGTGAGCTGTGATTGACCACTACCCTCCAGTCTGGGTGATAGAGCGAGACCCTATCTCTAAAAAAAGAAATGTTTTTGAAACTTACTTTACCATTGGCTCAGGCTAGCTCAGTATTTCTTTATACCTCTTACCATTCTAATGCATTTATTTTATTCATGTGTCATTATTTTTAAGGAAAACTTAGAAGATGAATATGAACCGCGAAGAAGAGATCATATTTCTCATTTTATTTTGCGGCTTGCTTATTGCCAGTCGTGAGTATATGTTTATATTCTCACAGTCAAATCTGATGTCATGGGTTATAAATTGGTGTGTGGTAAGTTGATGTGTTGTACTGAACATAGGAAAACCCAGAATAACATCAGGAACCAGTTGATCATGGGGTTGAACACTGTTATAGTAAATTGTTTGGAGCAAATTGTTTGCTTAAAAATACTGAAAAAAATTCTGTCACAAAATTTTGCCTGATGAAGCACTTTTTAAGTTTATGAGAGAGACTCTTCATTTGGGATTTTAAATTGGAAAGGATTTTATTGGGAGGAAGGACTTTTGATACTTTTCCTGCAAAAAAAGGATAATATTTATAAGAAACAATTAATGAAACCCACACTTGAATTTGATACAGGTTTTTGGAATTTGAGCTCTGTGGACCAGTTACATCTAAGATTTTTGTTTGGTAGTTGGTTTTTTTAAGTTAATAGTGCCACCCAGAGGTAGTAAAGTTAGTTGCTTTTTTAAAAACTGTTTTTCCCCACATATTAATTTTGGTCACATAATTTAGTTATGGCTGTCTTTTTTTTAATTAATAGGCTTATCAAGTGAGACTCTTGAATTGCTTACTATCCCAAGATAATAATTGGTAAATTACTTACCAGTTTTGGTTCTAGAGTTTTTCTTCTATAAAAAAGCATATGTAGTTTATGAAATTTATATAATAAATACGTTGCTGACAATCTGTGAAAATCTCCTAAAAATGTGAAATCATATTTTGCATCCAGTAGGGTAATTATTTTATTATATAACAGTAACACCCCTTAGTATCTGCCTTATAAATGAACATTTTATTGCTTTTAAATATTGTGGTATACATGTACATATTAAATTTTGTGAAATTATAAATTGTAAAGCCATGAGCAAAGTTTCCTTTGCAAAGTTAATCTGATCAAAGTTGCCTTAAAAAATTTGGTGTATTTTATTTGGCATTTATAAAGACACCTCAAGCCAAAGGAGTGCCCCATTTCCCCATTTCCTTTTTTTTTTTTTTTCTTTTTTCTCTCTTTTTTTTTTTTGAGCTAGAGTCTCATGCCATTGCCTAGGCTGGAGTACAGTGGTGCCATCTTGGCTCACTGCAGCCTCAACCTCTGTGGGCTCAGGTGATCCTTCTACCTCAGCCTCCTAAGAAGCTGGGACTATAGGCACATGCCACCATGCCTGGCTAATTTTTTTGTAGATATGGGGTTTTACCAAGTTGCTCAGGCTGGTCTCAAACTTCTGGGCTCAGGTGATCTGCCCGCCTTGACCTCTCAAAGTGCTGGGATTACAGGCATGAGCCACCATACCAGCCCCTATTTTCTAACATAAAATGAATATTTTGAAGTTACATTAAATGCATGAAGTATTTTATGTTATTTAAAAATAATGCAGCTGGGCTTGAAGCATTCTGTATTTAATCTTTTTAATTTTTAACACCCCCTATACCTTGTACCCAACCCATCCCTAGAAGATTGTGATATGTGGTATTGATATTCTCCTTACCATGATAGACTTGCATGTTTTTAACTGCTGTCCATTGGCATCTTGCTTATGTCTGAATATTGTTTTATAAACATTTCTTAGATTTAATAATCACTGGAGTTTTACTTTGTACTCATGCTTTCTGTCTTCATTTCAGTGAAGAACTTAGACGCTGGTTCATTCAACAAGAAATGGATCTCCTTCGATTTAGATTCAGCATTTTACCCAAGGATAAAATTCAGGATTTCTTAAAGGATAGCCAATTGCAGTTTGAGGCTGTAAGTATATTTTTGTAGTTATTTTTAATTGTTCTCACCATTCATTTTTCCCTTCTGTCTTAAGTGCTGGTACTAATGTGTGGTGTATTCGCTTTACATTCTCCAAGCACCTGTCTGAAACAGTAGCTAATAGCTTTGGATAACAATATGTCTTTCCTTCTCTATGACTAGAAGAAAAGGGACTCCTTAATAACACAGTCTCACATTTAATTCCTCTGTTAAATATGTGCTTTATTAAAGCACAAGAAGGTTTAGTTTATAAAGGTTCACCTTTAACCAAAATTTTGTTGGCCAAAAAATTTCAAAATTAATAATGTGTTAAACTAGACAAGTGATGGTTACTTATTTATAGTTGTGAAATTTAGAGGAGGTAATACTTTATTTAAAAGTCAGTTGTCAGGCGGGGCATGGTACCTCACACCTGTAATCTCAGCACTCTGGGAGTCTGCAGTGGGCGGATCACTTGAAGTCAAAAGTTCGAGACCATCCTGGCCAACATGGTGAAACCCCCACTCTACAAAAAATACAAAAGTTAGCCAGGCATGGTGCTGCGCGCCCGTAATCCCAGCTAGTCAGGAGGCTAAGGCGTGAAAATTGCTTGAACCTGGGAGGTGGAGGTTGTGATGGGCTGAGATCATGCCACTGTACTCCAGTCTGGGCAACAGAGCAAGACTCTATCTCAAAAAAAAAAAACCCCAAAAAACAAAAAGTCAGTTGTGAGTAAAATCTGTCTGAATAGTTTTGCAGATAAATCTGAATGATTTACGTATTGTAATTATATAAAAAAGAAGAGATCTTTGGGACTCATTTAACAGGGATAAGTATTGGAAATAGAATTTATATCTTTTTTTTTTTTTTGAGATGGAGCCTCACTCTGTCATCCAGGTGGGAATGCAGTGGTGTGATCTCGGCTCACTGCAACCTCCGCCTCCTGGGTTCAAGCGATTCCCCTGCCTCAGCCTCCTGAGTAGCTGGGACTACAGGTGTATGCCACCATGTCCTTCTAATTTTTGTATTTTTAGAGACATGGTTTCACCATGTTGGCCAGGCTGGTCTCAAACCCCTGACCTCGGGTGATATGCCCGCCTCAGCCTCCCAAAGTGCTGGGATTACAGGTGTGAACCTCTGTGCCTGGCCTAGAATTTATGTCTTTTAGGTAGATATATGCCACAATGGGAATGTAGAAAAATTCTGTTTTGGAAGTTTTAGAGCAGTCAGATGGTAGTAGGACTGGCTGAGACTCTGTTTTGTTGTTGGAATGCATGGCTTAAAGCCAAATAAAGTAAAAAAGTGGAAGTTGCAATAGGTGAAAGACATTGTCCTGTCTGACAAGTAGAAGACATATCCACTGTATCAAGGAACACTATGGAGTATATGAGTTAGGGAAAAGAGACTGTGAAGGGAAGTGAACAAACATTTTGTAGACGTTTAGTATTGAATATATGCTAGGGAGGCAGTTTCTATAGTTTCTTTCATTTGCTTCATGAGGTTTCTAAGTCACATCTACCTTTGCATAGACAGATGTCATGCATGGTACCATCTGAACCAAAACCATTGCATCTTCCATTTTGTTTTTAACTTTTATCCTTGGTGAAGTCCATTATTGCAATTATCAATTACAGTTAAATTATCCGTTCATATTAGAAATAGTTTATTTTTTGCTTTTGTTGAAATTACTGATTTTTAGTAGGTTATAGAGAGAAGTGTCCTTGAGAAGGTCTATTATTTATTCTAGAGCAGCTATCTCCAACCTTTTTGGCACCAGGGACTGGTTTCGTGGAAGACAGTTTTTCCACGGGCTGAGATAGCAGGGCGGGGAGGGATGTGGATAGTTTTGGGATGAACTGTTCCACCTCAGATCATCAGGCATTAGATTCTCATAAGGAATGCACATCTTAGATCCCTCACATGTGCAGTTCATAGTAGGGTTCGCACTCCTATAAGAATCTAATGTCTCCACTAATCTGACAGGAAGTGGAGCTCAGGTGGTAATGGTCACTCACTGGTCACCTCCTGTGCAGCCTGGTTCCTAGCGGGCCATGGACTGGTGCTGGTATGGCGGCCTGAGAGTTGGAGACCCCAGTTCTAGGGTGTCTCAACGCATTGTCACATATAATTTTTTAAATAATAGATTTATTGAGCTAGAATTCACAAATCTTGACATGCCCCCTTTTACAATGTATAATTCATTGGTTTTTATTGTAATTACAGATTGTACAACTAACACCACTATGTAATTTTAGAACATTTTCATCACCCTAAAAATGAAACCTCATACCCATTTATGGTCACTCCCTCTTCTTCCTCTCCCAACCCTTGGCAACCAGTAACCTGCTTTCTGTCTCTGGATTTGTCTGTTCTGAACATTTCATATAAATGGAGTCATACAATATTTGGTCACTTGTGATCAGCTTATTTTACTTAGCATAATATATTCAAGTTTCATCTATGCTGTAGAATGTATCAGTACTTAATTTTTTAATTGCCAAATAATATTTTACCTGTTCAGCATTTGAGGGACATTTGGATGGTTTCCACATTTTGGCTATTATGAATAATGCTACAGTGAATATTTGTGTCCAGGTTTTTGTGTGAATATGTTTTCCTTTCTCTCAGGTGTATACCTAGGAGTGGAATTGCTAGATCAAAGGGTGATTCTGTGTTTAAACTTTTGAGGAGCTATCAAAATGTTTTCCAAAGTGGCTATATTATATATCTTACCAGGAGTGGATGAGGGTTCCACTTTTTCCACATCCTCACCAAAAATTATTACCTTTTAAAAAAATATAGCCATCATAGTGGGTATGAAGTGGTATGTAATTGTGGTTTTGATTTGCATTTCTAATGAAGCTGAACATCTTTTCATGTGCTTATTGGTGATTTGTGTATCATCTGTGGAAAGATGTCTGTTCAAATCCTTTGCCTGTTTTTTAGTTGAATTGTTTGTCTTTTTATTGTTGTGTGTTCTTTGCATATTCTGGATACAAGTCCATTATCATATGATTTACAAATATTTTCTCCCATTCTGAAGGTTATCTTTTCTTGATCGTATTGTTTGCAACGAAAAGATTTTTTTTTCTTTAGATGAAGTCTAATTTATCTTTTTTTCTTGTCACTTGTGCTTTTGGTGTTGAGTCTTAGAAGGGTTTGCCTAATGTGAGGTCATAAAGATTTACTCCTACAGTTTTTTCTCTAACAGTTTTGTAGTTTTAGCTCTTACATTTATATCTGTGGTTCATTTTGAATTAATTTCTATACATGGTGTCAAGTAAGGGTCCAACTTCATTCTTTTGCATGTAGATATCTAGTTGTCCCAGCATCATTTGTTGAAATGACCGCTTTCCTCATTGATTTATCTGGGCACACTTGTCAAGCCAGTTGGCTATTGATGTGGTTTGACTGTGACCCCACCCAAATGTCATCTTGAATTATGGTTCCAATAATCCCCATGTGTCATGGGAAGGACTTGGTGGGAGATAACTGAATCATGGGGGCAGTCTCCCGTATGCTATTCTCATGATAGTAAATTCTCATGAGATCTGATGGTTTTATAAGGGGCTTCCCCCTTCACTTTGTTCTCATTCTCTCCCCTGCCGCCCTGTGAAGAGGTGCCATCTGCCGTGATTGTAAGTTTCCTGAGGCCTCCCCAGACACGCGGAGGCCTCAGGATTAAACCTCTTTCCTTTATAAATTACCCAGTCTCAGGCAGTTCTTTATAGCAGCGTGGGAACAGACTAATACAACTGTCAATGTAAACATTAATTTCAGTACCCTTAGTTTTATTCCATTGATCTGTCTGTCGTTATGTCAATACCATGTGGTTTTGATTATTGGTTACTTTAGCTTTGTTGTTAAGATTTAAAGTTGAGAAGTATGAATTCTCCAGCTTTGTTCTTTTTTTAAGATTGTTTTGGCTATTCTGGGTTCCTTGCATTTTTTAATGAATTTTGGGATCAACTTGTTAATTTCTACCAAGAAGCTAGCTAGGATTCACATTGGGATTACACTGAATCTGTAGATCAGTTTGGGAGGTACTCTTTTGTAATGATATTAAGTCTTCCAATCCATGAACATGGGATGTCTTTCTATTTATTTAGATATTCTTTAATTTTCTTTCAACAATGTCTTGTAATTTTTTGTTAAATTTATACCTAAATATTTTATTATTCAATGCTATTGTAAGTGGAGTTGTTTTCTTCATTTCACATTTGGAATGTTCATTGCTAGTATATAAAAATCCAGGTGATTTTTGTATATTGATCTTGTATCCTGCAACCTTGCTAAACTTGTTTTTTTTTTTTTTTTTTTTTGTTCTTGGGTTGGGGTCTCGCTCTGTCACCCAGGCTGGAGTGCCAGGTTCACGCCATTCTCCTGCCTCAGCCTCCTGCTTGCTGCCATGGCCAGCTAATTTTTTGTATTAAATTTTTTAAAAATTCTAACAGTTTTATAGTGGATTTATTATGAGGTTATGTTTTCTACAGAGAGATTCTGACTCCTTACTTTCTAATCAGGATGCTTTTTGTTTCTTTATTTTTGCCCAGTTGCCCAGCTAGAATCTCCAGTACAGTGTTGAATAAAAGTGGCAATAGCATTCATCATGATGTCGGGGGAAAGATGTCTTTCACTATGTTACATGGTATTAGCTGTGTGTTTTTTTAATAGATGCCCTTTATTGGATTGAGGAAATTTTCTTCTAATTCTAGTTGAATATTTTCATTAAGAAAGGATGTTGTATTTTGTCAGTGCTTTTCCTGCACCAATTGAGATGATCCTATGGTTTCTGTCCTTTATTAATATGGTATGTTGGGCTGGGTGCGGTAGCTCATGCCTGTAATCCCAGCACTTTGGGAGGCTGAGACGGGCAGATCACGAGGTCAGGAGTTCAAGACCAGCCTGGCCAACATAGTGAAACCCCATCTCTACTGAAAAAAAAAAAAATACAAAAAATTAGCCAGACATGGTGGCACGTGCCTGTAGTCCCAGCTACTGGGGAGGCTGTG